ATTTACAATACCACATTGAGCTAGTTCCCGCACTGCAACCCCCCCCCCCAAAAAAAAGAGTACGCAAAGTACGAGTAAGAAACAGCTTAAAGAAAACATTACTGATAATGTAACAGGAGAAACTGAAAAATGCAAAATACCTTACTGTACAGTATAAAATTTTTTTACTTTAATAATACCTGTATTTCAATTGTTACTCTGTTAGCCTCACAACTATAACCAACCAATTGTTTGAGTAGTATTGCTAAAGCCAAGCAATGCAAAGACTATTTTTTTCATTATTCATGCGTGACCGGGAGCATTACAGTACCTGGTGCAACTTACATTGATACTGTACATGCAAAATTTTGATTCAGCATTGTGAATGGTGTCTAGCAAAATAGCTGAAGTGCATTGTTGAACGAATACAGTATGACTACACGAGGTAAAGTGAAAGAAGAATGAAAAAAGAAAAAAGATTGGCATTAAGAGAAGGAAGGGAAAAGTATTGATGATCTGAGAAGAGAAGAGAGTAAAACAAAATTGTTTATAAGACAAGCCAGTGCTGCTACATACAGAAAAGGAATATGCATGCCTGACTAAAGGGGTTTAATGAATGAGGTGAGCAATTAAGATACAGGACATGAAAGTTATGGCAAAAAGCAGGTGTGATCAATTGGGTAAATGCACAAGTATGATTGAAAGCAATTTTTTATGGTTGTTTAACACAGGAAAATAGTTCCAAATATAGCTGGCTCCCAATTATTGTGTGGAAAACAAATATAAATTTTTACACAGAAAATATATTACATTGGAAGCATAATGTGTTGTTTAATGGTAGACCCTGCTGCCATATGGCATCACGAAAATTGTGACTAAGTTCCAGGTTGCTGATCTGAATTTCTGCCTCATTTACACACAATTGCAGGTCTCAATTGTTTCTCTTACTACAGTATTGACAACACAACATACATACTGTATACCCTATAGAGTTTCTCACAATTGATATTTTTTTTTCTTTTTTGTATTTATTTATGGTTCTTTATTATTATTATTATTATATTTTTTGTAATGTGTATTTATTTTATTAATTATTATTATTATTGTATTATTATTATAATTTTGTCCCCCAGACCCTGATGTGGGTCAGTGACCTGTGCCCGGGTGGGCTAATCCCTGTAAAATTTAAAAGTCTGATAAAAGATTTTACTCTTTTTGGGTATTTTAAGTAAAGTTTGCTCATTAGGAATACAATGGCTTTTTAAATTAGCTGGCATGAATGAGGGTCATCAAAATACCTTTCACTTTAAATGATACCTAGCATCAATGGGGGTTATCCTAAATCAAATCTAATATCAGATTCTTAGGGCTGATTTAATTATGAATGTTATATTAAAAAAATCTGTATCATACATATGATGTCTGATAAATCTATTTCTGCACAAGTATAGGCCCTCAAATCTGGGACCCTTAGGGCTAAAACAAAACCGGTGTTGAGGATTTCCAGTTTCCTGGGTCCCACAATAAGTCATCCATGTTAACGCATGCCTAGATCAGGTTTTGCTTCCACACACACAAACTCAGTTGAACGTTTGTTTTATTTCTTCAATAACAAAATAAAGAAACCATCATAACCTAACGCAGGAAGAAATTTCCGTTTTTTGAGAATCTTCAGTTTTCTGAAATCTAATTTTGATGGTCTGTACCAGTATAACATAAGGCTTAAAAAGAAAGTTCTTTTCAAAACATACAAAAAATAACTGGGTGTTACATGTATCTGGGAAGCTTTCACATTCTCAATCATTCTAGAATTATGCTTCCAAGAATACTTCAAGAAATTTGAGCCACCCTGCTTTGATCACAGCCAAGTACAAATTAGATACAGTGAGTTCTGCTACAACGCGTGTTTTGACAACGCGAATTGGCTCTAACGCGATTTATGAATAGAGGAACGATATTTGTATAACACGAACGCTTGTTTGCTGTAACGCGATTTTTGCTTCCTATTTCTCCAATTTTGTGGTATTAACTGTGAATATGGTAAAGAAGAATATCTCCAAGAAGAGTTCTGGTGATCGCATTCCCGGTGATGATCGTAAAAGAAAGGCTATAACCCTTGAAGAGAAGCTCGATGTTATCTACCTCAAAATCACCTTTCTCCCCCATCAAGTTATATTCATATTTTTTCAAGGTAAAGTGTTACATTTACTGTATGATTTCATTATTAGATATGAATGTAACATTTATTTAGACTGTGCTATCCTTTGTGTTAGGCTAACTACTAAATTTTTTTCGATTTCGAGTAATCTGCACCTAACCCTATTTTCTCCATAAGCCCTGTTATTTCTATTACGCGAATCTCTATAACACGATGTTTTACAAGAACACATCTGTCGCATTATAGCAGAACTGACTGTACTGTACATATTGTATAGCTATAAGTTTTAAAATATTAGGAGTTCATCCCAAGAATCAGAGAGGCAGGCCATTTTGGCCCAACATACCTTTCAATGTGTCAAGGTACCAAGGCCAACTGAACGGTAACAATGACCAAAACAGAATGTACAACTGTTTGTTATTTCAACTCTTGATGGGAATACTTTTTTACTCCTTAAATTAACACGAGAATTCGTTGAATTTTATCAATGTGGACCACAAATGTACTCTGCGGGAGCACCGCAATTGCTACTGTAAATATCAGAGCAAAATGTACTGTATTAAATCTTGAAATTGACATTAAAATCACTTCCTTCATGGAGATAAGAATATCACAATAATTCATGGAGGCCAAACATTTACTTTTTTTTTTTTACAGTAATACAATATCTAAACCATATACTGAAGCCCCTTTCTAGTTTCTGACTCAGTAAACTTTAGCTGATTATGATTTTTTCTTAACATCTGAATATTAAATGATTAAAGTATCTTGAAAATCTTACTTTCCTCAGAGGTACTAACATAAAGAAAGACCGACCTGTTATAATGACTACTATACATTATACTGTATATAAATTGCATGTGTATGTGATACAGTACACATAAAATAATACTGCACTGCCCATACAAAATCAATACTCCCGATATCAGAAACACCAATACAGTGAGTTCTGCTATAACGCGTGTTTTGATAACGCGAATTTGCTCTAACGCGATTTATGAATTAGGAACGATATTTGTATAACGCGAACGCTTGTTTGCTATAACGTGATTTTTGCTTACTATTTCTCCAATTTTGTGGTACAGTGGGGTATGCTATAACGAATCTAATTGGTTCTAGAACCTTGTTCGTTATAGCATTCGTTCGTTATAGGATTAATCCGTTCCAGGCCCCCAAATACAACAACTTAACACTGAAAAATATAATATAAAATTGTAAAAATTGTAAAAAAGTGCATAAATATGCATCTAAACCCCTGAAATAAAGAATATCATTAATATTTGTAATAAAAAAACAATAAATTAGAAAAAAAAAAATTAAATAATGTTCGTTGTAGGAGTTTCGTTCGTTATAGCATTCTCAATTTTATAGGTAAAACCGTTCGTTATAGGAATATTCGTAGTAGGATCCGTTCGTTATAGCATACCCCACTGTATTAACTGTGAATATAGTAAAGAAGAATATCAACAAGAAGCGTTCTGGTGATAGAATTCCCGGTGATGATCGTAAAAGAAAGGATATAACACTTGAAGAGAAGCTCGATTTTATCAACCTCAAAATCACCCTTCTCCCCCATCAAGTAAAGTGTTACATTTACTGTATAATTTCATTATTAGATATGAATGTAACATTTATTTAGACTGTGCTATCCTTTGTGTTAGGCTAACTAAATTTTTTCGATTTCGAGTAATCTGCACCTAACCCTATTTTCTCCATAAGCCCTGTTATTTCTATTACGCGATTTTCTATAACACGATATTTTACAAGAACACAATTATCGCGTTATAGCAGAACTACCTGTATACAGGTACAGTACTGTATATCATATGCAAGTATCACTATCAGCAGGAAATTTCATAAAATTACCTAAAATACTGTATAGCTTCATTACTCAAAACCTTGAAAGCTGTATGAAATTGTGACCAATACCTCATATATTATGTCCCAATCATATTACAACACCTTCTTTCTTCATACCAACATAATGCCAGTGATTTTCTACTTTCAGACCAGGCCAAGTTTGAATGCTACTACCAACCCATATATGTTATCTATATAAGGGGTTTGGGCATTATGTAACAGCTTGGAGACTAAACACATTCTTAATCCAGATAATCAATGACCCTACCAGTATACTGTTGTACTACCTCTAGAAAACCACGCTCAAGACATCAACTGGTGGCTTACCAATTGCATACATGCCAGTTACTTGTGGCTTTAAGATTTCTGACAGGCAGCTCATTTCCTAGCACTTTTTATCAATATATTCTGGGTTTTCCTAATTGTTAATGTACGAGGCCCAGAGAAGATGTGAACAGGCTGGGGATCATGTGACCAATAGTTTATGTACAGTACTGCAAATTATAAAACAAAAAGCACAAACTAAGCAAAATATGAGTAATCATATGAATAAAGATATATTTAGAAATTAAAATGTTAATAATGTTCCTATTGTCAGAAATTTATTATTTTTTTTAGAGACCCAAGATGAAAGACCTAATGTATCATCTGAATCAATCAATTTGGCCAGTACAAAATCAGATCCCTGACTACTAAAATAAACTTAGTTACCCCTGTACCCCATAACACACACATTCTTTTAATAATTGTCATACTAAATGCTCATTTAGTCTTTAATATGTCTCATCAAAATACTACCCATGTTGATGTACCCCAAGTTACTGACCCATGTTGATGTGCCCCTAGTTACTGACCCATGTTGATGTACCCATAGGTGTTGATCTGTACTACCACAATTCTTGGTGGTAACTTATGTTGATGTTCCCCTTTGTTGACACATGCTGGTAAGGAATGGCGAAGCTCTTGGTCGTAAAATCCATGCTTTAACAATCAATGATCTTACCCATGCTTGAGTGCCCTCTGGTTGCTCTTGAGGGATGGCATCTGTTCATTTGGTAATGCAGCGAGTGAGAGTCCGTCCCCAACTTCCTGAAGGACCACCTGGAGTGTGCCATGAAATTCTGGGGTGTACTTCTTCATTTCTTGCGGCAGAGTCCGGTAAAAGCGATACTCTCGACCGATGAGTGGTTTGCAGACCGTCACATCATCCAAAACAAACATGGACGAGTGGCCGCTCACTTGGTGTACCAGCGGCTCTAGCTGTAAAAATTATACACATTACAATATGGTTTCACCTACACATTATTTCTTGAGTGACAGTTTCATTTCCCATCATCTTTACTCCCTTCACATTTTTCATATTTTGCATCTTCCTGAAATTTTTTAATTCATTTATTGAATAACAATTCCTTTATATGTACTACAATATTTTAGGGGTCAAAATCTACAAAAATAACATTATTAGTTAAAGAGTTACAATTACTAAATTTTAATTTTTTAATCTTTAACTGCACTTTCTTGTATTTTTTCTTTTTTTACATTTGTCACTTGTCTACTTCTTGCCTCAAGTGCCTCAGATACTGTACTTAATGAAGTACTGTATCTTCATCCTCACAGCTGTTGTAAATCAAGCTTCTATTACAAAAATTTTGCAGTGTTCCCAAAGTTGATGTGCCAAACATTAATGAAAAAAGAAAGGATACAAGCATAAAAAATATATGTTAGCCTTCAAAAAGTAGTTAGTATTTATGTGTGATTCTATTATACAGCAAATACAGTAACAGACAGCCTTTGGGTCTTACATGGCATCTCACCTGTATGAGGTCATCTTTGTCACTGTCATGGTTCATGGTCCCCAGGGTCATCTATGTGGGCTCTTTGTCTTGCTCACACCTCTGGAAATTTAAATCCACATATGTAGAAGAATTAATTGCTACTGCATACCATGATGATGCCAAACACAAAATGCTAAGTATAGATGAATTAATTATTTGTTAATTTGGTAATACAAAATTGGTACAGTATTTCTATTATATTTAGAACATGCATTCATAAGGCAGATGTTTGTAAGTTGGGGGCTCCCTATATTAAAACTGTCTTATACAGTAGAAGTCCAAAAATCCGGACTGCTTGGGGATTGGGTCGGTCCGGATTTTCGGATTTTCCGGATTCTCAGGCAGTACTTTTAAAATTCAAATTTAAGGAGAAATAAAGAAGAGATGAACAGGTACATTTTGATAGTTTAATCATTAGCAAATATAGCATGCTTCATTTATCAAAACGAGCAGTTTTAAAGAAAAAGCTGAGAATTCTAGAATTTTATTCTTTGCCTTTTTTATATCATAAATTGTAGACTTTCCAATGTCGTATGTTTCCATTAGAACAGTATTGCTCACACCACGTTCTAGTTTCTTAATTATTTCAAGTTTGTCTCATTTTCAACGTGTTCTTCTTTCTCTTCACACAACGAAGTTTATCTACTTTAGAAGCCATTATTATGGGCTTGTACAGTATTCTGTAAATGGAAAGAGTAGGACTCAAAATTACATACGTCGTCACAGTTTGATTGCTCATTTTAAAGTGGCGACCGCGTGGTCGCTTGTTGTCGCTGTGCAGCTATGGCGCTCGCGCATGTGCACATACACACAAAAGCCAGCTAAATTTATAAAAAAAAAAAAAAAAAGTTTGGGTTTTCGAAAAGTCTGGATTCTCGGGTGGTCCGGATTTCTGGACTTTTACTGTAGTAGTGTGTGTGCATAATCATCATGTCAAAGAATGTCTGGCCAAAACAGTCATCTGCTGTTGACTGGGGCTCTGGATTCCAATAGCTGAATTATGTACTAGAGGTTTCCAGGATAACACCAGAAATGTATGGCAAGAGACTTGGGTGTCCTCCCAACTTATTAATGACAAAGGGACGTCTCATAAGAGGTTATATATCTGCAATCTCGGAGATATCATAGTACCCTAAATTGCGATAGGGTTGCGTTCCTGAAAACCCTAAAGTAAATAAAATTAACGTAAATCACGAGACTTTTAACATAGGTTCCAATGGTATATGTTTTGGGCCTGTCTAACACAGACATGTAACACAGAAGAAAAAATGATCCTACAATAATTAAATAAATGGAAACAAATTAAACAACACTCACCATATTAATAATAATAAGCCTGGTTGTCATCACATCAACAGAATGCTTGCTATTCATTTTGAAAGTTACAGACTTACAATGATCACTTCACAGTCATCAAAACAGAGCAAAAGCTGAACGATAATGTTTTCCTCTCACCAATAACGTCAAAGTATAACAGAGATAACAAGGTTATACAACGATTAATAATGATAACGTTTGTTTCCTAAGTGAGGGCAGATGTGATAATGTTCAAAGAAAGTGCGGGGCTGTAGTTTGCACGGTGGCCATGAGGCAGTTTCTGCACCTATTGGTGCTTCCACAGTGTCTACATTCAGCATCAGCAAGTTTAGCCTAACGATAACTATCGGCAATGTGGATTTTGCCTTACATACCGGGTAAATTGCAAGAGGGTGTTAAAACTTAATTAACATAAATGCGGATTATCGTAAAACAGATGATCGTAAATTGGGGGATATGTACCTGTACCACCATCACCTCCTTCTAGTTGGCTTTGGATTATTAGAACTGTACAGCTTTAAGAGAATTACCAAGAATGGAACTCATCCTGAAATCTTTTTTCTAACAGACCCCAGCAGCCAAGTGGCTTGGGTACCCTTCCTCCTCTTTTGGTTACTACTGTATCTTAATCACCTGGAAATTAATTCAATTTGACAGAATGATCAGCCATAAAGATCACAGACACTATACACTGGCATATATGGTGCGAACTGGACAGAATGAACTCAATTAAGACCTCCTAGCCTTTAGGGGACAGCTGTTGAAGGACACGGTATGATGGGGGAGTGAAGAGTAGAGTACGTACTGTATATCCAAACACATTAACATATCAACTTTGAATGACATTATGAACTGATACTGTTTTTAAATACTGAATCCACCCCAGGCTTCCAACCAGAAAAGACCTGTATTACAAAAAACAACTAAAGTAATTATGGCTGTACCAAAAAGTGTTTTCAGGATCAATCCTACATTTAAGGTTTTGTCCGTTCACTTCACATGGATTACACCATGGATTGCTCAACATCACCAATTTCATGAATAATGAAATCAAATTTACAGTAACGTACAGGTACAACAGTTTATCATAAGCTCACTGGTATCCTTGTGCTGGTACAGGCATCCCTTGAGTTATGAAAGGGTTACTTTTCTGAAAAATTTTCCACAACTTGAAAACTACTTTTCCATTCCCTTCTATTATACAATTGGAGATTTGTTCCTACAGATAGAATTCTCTCCCCCCAAACATACTAAAATAACTTGAGATTCAATTAATTAAAGAGATCATTTTTCATGTAATGTGCTGTAAACAACACCCAGGGCTGCAGGTGTTACATGAACAATCCAGGACACTTCGGACTCAGACATTATAAGTTTTATAAATTTACAAAATTTCCGACTTTTTTTACCTTATCACCTAAACGTACAATTTAAAATTAAGTATCCTGTACAGTACTGTACAGTACAGTGGTCCCTTGGTTAACGAACGGTTCGATTAACGAATTAGCTCTCATAATGATTTTCAGTTCAATTAACAAACAAATCTTCGATTAGCGAAATCCTTACAACACATTTTGTTGTGCGCATCAGCTGATCAGCTAGTCCGCCAATACAGTAATCAGCTTAATGTTTCATTCATTTCCAGTGGAGTAGATATCAATAAGGTTGTGCTCTTTAATATTTTTGCACTTTTCATATCAAAATTATTAGTCATTTTAAAATTTAGTTAACATATTGATAATATATGCAGTACAGGAAACTAGTTTTTTGTGCGCCCATCAGCCGCTTGACTCACCCGCCAAAGCGTCTTTGTTTAACTTTGTTTACAGTGGAGGAAACATCGTGTTTGTTGTTCTCTTGAATACAGAGAATTTTTACGTTTTACATTAAAATTATTGGTCATTCTGAAATTCAGTTCACATATTGATAGCATATTGTGCAGTGCAGTGTTGATTTAAATAAAATAATCTTTAATTACAACTAGTGAACTTTAAATTTTATTGGTGAAATTACTGCATCAAGCATGGGTCCAACATTCTACATACACACCTCAAAGTAAGTGTACTGTACTGCATTTTGTTTATACTTTGTATGTACTTTTCTGTGAGTTGGAACCAATTACAGTGGGGTATGCTATAACGAACGGATCCTACTACGAATATTCCTATAACGAACGGTTTTACCTATAAAATTGAGAATGCTATAACGAATGAAACTCCTACAACGAACATTATTTAATTATTTTTTTTTGCTAATTTATTGTTTTTTTATTACAAGTATTAATGATATTCTTTATTTCAGGGGTTTAGATGCATATTTATGCACTTTTTTACAATTTTATATTATATTTTTCAGTGTTAAGTGGTTGTATTTGGGGGCCTGGAACGGATTAATCCTATAACGAACGAATGCTATAACGAACAAGGTTCTAGAACCAATTAGATTCGGTTAATGAACGACTCTGTGGAACGAATTGTGTTCGTTAACCGAGGGACCACTGTATTTGAAATAAATAAGTAACTAAATAAAGGCTTGATAGGCATTATAATTGTTATACCTGTATAGCAATACTGTATAAAGGTGTTGGTGACACAGCAGTAATATGCATATCTCTCACAAGTGTGTCTTGGGTTCAATCCCCATGTAACCCTACCAAACAATGTAGGTTTTCTCCAAGTAATTCAATTTCCTCATGTACTAACACTGGATACAAAAAGTCATGACAAAGTAACAAAAAACACAAGACTGTTCAATAGGCTAATAAACTGATAAATGGTGAAATGATTAATAGGTCAAATTTTCTTCCAGTTCCTGTTTTTAAATCAGCCTTTATTCACATCAAGACTCATACTTCTACTGTAACTAAATATGTACTGTAAAGGTTAAAAAGACAATTGCCATTTCACTTCATAAATTTTTTGTGATGGACAACACATAAAATGTTAATCTATTACTCTTAGGTTATTTTTCTAATTACATTGGTTCATGTGTGTGTTGTAATTAATGCTGTAGTTGTGCATCCTCCCAAGGTTGGTATTGTCGACAAAACTGTACAATAATGCTCACGTACTCATATGAAGATCTGGTAAAGGTTAATAAGAAGGTCACCACTGTATTTCCTGGTACAGTATTTTTAATTGGATCCCCAATGATTCAGTACATCTATCTAATTCTGGTGAATTGAGTAAAAAAAAAAAAAAATATATACTATATATTTTTATAATTCACACACTTAAAGTCTCATTTCTGTATGATGGCCTCCGAGGCTAAAAGGCTATAAGATGATGCAAATTAAATAAAGTGGAGGTGTAGTTAATTCTGATTGGTTCATATACAGTACTTTAAGAAAAGGTTAATCTCCCCAACAGTACACCAACTTTGTCATAAACAGGCAGGTCCACCTGTTTCAATTGGAATTAAAGATGTTACAATTGTAAGATTCATAGTAATTTTCTTCTTTGCTCTCCAATCAATTTTCAGTTATAGTATACCGTGTGAATTAACACAAATCATGTGAGGATTCCTCTTATTAAATTCTATCAGGATGAATCCCTCTCCTGAACCAATGACTTGATATCAAAAAAATTTTGTTTTCATTTCACATAAGCATTTTTCTTTACTCTTCCATCAATTGTGCATTTTATATACTGTATTAGAAAAAAATTTATTAAAGAAAGATAATTGAATATTAATAAATTCTATCATCTACATGCATTATTTGGAACCCAAGTACAGTACTGTACTTCTAAATTATTCATTGTACACCTGATTTATGCCCGAGTACAACTATATAAGAGAAGCGATGGTTAACTTGTTTAACTGAAAAGTTGGACAAAGCCAGATCGACTTATGTAACTGTACAACCACATATACAACATAACACAGAATTCCAAAACTCAGCTGCAGATTTTTGTGATTTGTATAGTTTACAGAATGTGTACAATATACAGTATGAGCATATCATTAAAATTCTATAAATTGCATAACTATCATGTATAATTTAACATGATACATGTAAAGATCAGGAGCACAACAACACTATCCGGAAGCAGATTCAGTTTATGTAATATTTCCTTCTTGAACGTTGCTGTCCTGATCTGATGTTGGAACTACAAATTTACGATTTTTGCTTTGCAGAAAGTATGCATCAGCTGCTATGTGCACACAGGTGAACTGAATGAAACTATATCAACGAACTAAGTTTGAAGGAACAGATTAATGTTTGGCAATGTTCAGTGGTTCATTCCTGATGAAATTTGCCAAAGTATACATAATGGTTTATAATCATGATTTTCCATATAGGAGTGTGTTTTTATTCATAGTACAAACATCTTAAACCTAACAATGTTTACACTTATGGTACTTATAAAGTTTTTCTTACCTCACGAAAATACCAAAAAGTTCACAAGAAATATATTTCCCTTTATCTTAGTTTTATGAATTTTTTCTCCTGAATACAAACCAAAAGCCAAACTTCGATGTTAAAATTGCGCCTTCACAAGATAATAATAAACGATAATTGCATTATTTTAAGTTAGGTTAGGTTAAGTCTGGTAGATTATATTGATTCACTTTGTTAATGAATAATCCTGAATTTTGCAACTGAGACTTCCCAGTTGTAAACAATGAGCAACAGCGGCTTAAATGTCTTGAGCATACACGCGTGTTGATGAGGGAAAAAAGTCTTGAAATTAAATTATATTAAGGTAAACGTTTTCCTCGGGCACTTTTTGTCACTTTCATGAGGTAAGAAAGCATTTATCTTCTATAGTGTAATTATATAGGACTAACCCGCAGGCGAAATTGGTTGAAAGCAACTATAAAAATGCCGGGTTTTCATTGTTATATTATATTGGACACTGTTGAAGTTTGTGGAAATGTGTTAAAAAGTGGATATTTTTAAAATAAAAGCTACTTAACATTTGTGGCTATGAAGAACAGACCTAACCAACCAAACCAAACAGACCTACCTAACCTTACCTAACTTCCCCGGTATATTAAACAGAAAGAACTTTGTATGATATGGTGAAATTCGAGGAATTTCTGGACTTGAGATGATACGGCCACATCGGCCCTATGCAGCCCGGCGGGTTAGTCCTATATATTAACCGTACTTTTAAAAGGGTCAAACCACAAAGCATTTTATCTGAGCCTAAACTTAATAATCAGCGGTTCATTTCTCCTAAGGATGGCCATAGAGTGCAGTGGAATAATTGGAAAAAGTAATTGCACTCACCTAGGCTTTAGTTACTTCCATAGTTGAAATAAAAACACACCTACTGAAAGTGTGGTCCTATACCAATTATAAACTAGTGAAACAAAACTTGGAATTCTTTAAAATATGTTAATGCAATAATCTTTGACATCATGTTTTCTAAATTACCAAATTATAAAATTAACACTTTTCAAAAAAAAAAAAAAACTATGCAAGTACATCTATTTTTCCTTTCAATTTTAATGGTTTTCTATCAAATCAGCCACATAACTGAACTACCTTGGTTCAAACTATGCTGTTAATGGTATATGGGCTATTTGATTACTGAATAAATAAATTCAACACGAAAAGTAGGGGTGTTGGCAGTCAATGTTTAGGGTGACAAGATAGTCACCCCTTCTGCGCAACGCTCTCAGTCTCGCCGGGGGGTTCATACACACAATTTTTCACTTAATACTTCTGCGTACTTCAAGTGAATGAATCAAAACGCTATACTTCACAAGGACATACCTAAGACAAAATATCAAACCTTAAGAACGTAGAGAATCTTGGAACTTTCCTAGCATTCTCTGGTGAATATGGCGGTCTTGTTAACCAATCAGGAGAGAGCACAGACATTTTCAGTTAGATAACTATAAAGTTCCTTTAAATTTTGCAATATAAATAATGATTTTTTCTTAGTTTCTTAATTATGTAATTAATTTTAAGTAAATTATTGTACTTATAATTTATTTTATGTAATAAATTACTAAAAACTACGGTTACGTTTGACAAAGACTATAGACATACAGTTGCATGTTTACAGTTCCAGCTGATAGAGCAACGTGTGTCGACCATCCGTCATTAGTGTGTGCCAACCATGACGTCAGACGCGAGGAAGTATCGCCAAGGTTGGCACCTAGAATGTTTCTCACCTTCAGTGCGCTGAGTGGTGTTGCTTTGGAATGGTTGGACATGCAGACCAGTGAGCTGTGGGTTAAGTGAATTAACTTGCTTTGCGAGTGTCTCGTCAGGCTTTGAAATTAGCTTCAAATGCAAAAGATGAGAATAGTTCCCATACAAAGTGTAGTTTGCATTGTCCCAGATGCTTTGATATCTATATCTTTTATTTAGTATCGGGAATTGACACTTTGTAAAGCAAGCAATGCAAATGTAATTGTGCATTTATAAGCAGTGAACATAAACTGAATCAGGCTTTCCAATTACAATTTGCGTCACTGTAAGGGACCATAAGTTTTCTTGAAATACTTTGTGCCCCAACAACTTGACGACTTGCGGACTTCAGTCTCAGGTGTTGGCCCACAGCTACCTAACAAACTTCGAGTACACGGGATTCCAGAGCCAGCCAGATGTCTGCTGTTGCTCTGGATAGACAGTACCGGTGGAGGTCAAATCTGCAAGACTTAAGTTCTCACCTCCAACCACCTGCTCCACTTCCTCGATCTACCTGCATTCTCAACTACCCTAGACAGCCCACTCACTCGATCGCTGCAGGCCAAATAATAAGTTCTCATCTTGACTCATCTTTCGGCCACTCTCACGCCCTCCAGAGTCAGTCGGTGTTACCCACACCCTCTCACATTTTTAATTACCCAAATCCATCCTCACTCACATCCACCCACACTCCCATCACCCAACAGTCTACTACACAGTCATCAAAACGTGACTGTAATCCAAACCCTTCGCTGAACGTGAAGATGCATGCTCAAGTCACTTCGGCCAGCCTAGCTGTTAGCACTATTGAAGACATCGCGGCTCCAAGGAAACTGTCGTCAGGGGTCCTCTCCTCAGAACATATTTATGAGCCCCAAAGTCTTGCTCCTAGTTCTCCCCACACTTCTTGTAACTCAAATACGACTACCATCACTACGACAGTTCTGTGCCAAGCCAGCGACACCAAGACATTCACCAATGCAAGCCCTAACACCACTTCTTTAGCTCACTTTACTGCAACTAATCATGAATCCACTGAATCATCAGACGAAAATCAAAGTAACTGCTGTTGTAGGGCCAAGAGCTACAGCAAATGCAGCAGCAGGAATAGCGTGGTTGCTAAGAACAAGGGCGGCTGTTTCCAGCGACGGCGACTTATTGACGAGGAAGGGTATATCAGAAGAGCGGCATGTGTGTGCGTCAACAAGGAAGAAACTCAGGTAGGGAGTTAATCCATCTTCTCATATATATATATATATATATATATATATATATATATATATATATATATATATATATATATATATATATATATATATATATATATATATATATATATATATTGATTCCAAAATGAATAAGGGTCTTTCTTACTGCATTAACAACCAACTGTATTTACTGTACACAGCGTTAAAGGAATGGGTGGTCTGGAACTAGAGGTTTTGCGCGGAAACCTATTTGTTGATAGATGGACGGGAGACGCCCATAACATTACTGGTATACATCTTACGCTTGACGGGCGCATAAAAATTAGAATGCCAATTCGTGATGCATAAGTGGATCAGATATATTAATCGTTTCACGCGAATTAAATAAAAATCTTAAAATATGCCCTTAACTTAGGTTCAGTAAACCTAAGTTCTTCAGTAAATTAGGGCAGAACTAAACACAGGGACCTCCACTTTGACGTTTCATATAGTCTGTTTACCAAGTTGATTTTTTTTAAGTGATTTACCAGCATCTTCCTTTTTATATCTCCTTTCACTCGGTTTTGAAGAAATATTACAATAATACTTTAAGGTATCGAGTAGAAGACGAAACAGTAGGTTCAAGTTGATTAAATTACATCGTGGTAGAGAGGCGAGTGTGATGTCCCATCTGAAGACTAGTTGAACAAAACGCTGTCTGTCGCTCTGGCGGTGTAACGTTTAGAATATGCACCCCATCGGAATATCCACTCCTCAGTCATTATACACACCTCCAGCTGTTATTAGCATACATTTAAGATGTAATACCTCTTGTTTATGCTTGAATTTTGTTGAATATACAGTACATGAGAACATTCTAAGACATACAACAATGACCTCTAGGCTCTAGCTAACTTAAGTACAACTGGTCAAACCTGTATATTATTTGAGGACATTTCTTTATTACCTTACTTAAACCATCCTAACTTATATTCAAGGTCTGTGTTGTCACGACCTGCGTATTGGGGGGAATACACGTTATATATTATATATTGACTGGGGTACTAAACATTTGTTTAATATCCACAAGGGAGTTCATTAATACTGTTAACGCTCATAGGAGCGTTATTGGTTTGTTGCTGGAGAAATAAACCCTCAACGTTGACGCGTACCATATAATTCGGTCAAAACCTGTTAAAGAACAATTCACATATAACAAATGCTGTCACCTCAGGACACATAGAATGAATAATACAATCAATATACAGTACATAGCCTGTTAACATCTTAAGTATAACTCACATGTTACATTTGTTGATACATCAGGAGACAAGTTGTATAATATGATCAAATTACAGTACAAAAATATACTTATTAAAGTTATTTAGAGTTTATATTTACGTTTTAGGGTCTTGGGTTCGACCAGCGTGTTGTTTCTTCTGCAAGAATTGGTAGACTACTGAGTAATCGCCATCCAATCGCAGCCCTAGACGAGGGCATCTGTTTTATATTAGACGACCAACAAACACGTTGTCAGCGGTAACATCTCAACCTCTCTCTCTCTCTCATGTTTATCTTACTGTGGCGGTAACAAATACCAATTAAAATGAAGAGTGTATGTGACTGGTAAGTGGAAGCTTTTGTAATATTGTTTAATACAGTATCTTCCTTTAAAAGAAAAGTGTGTGGAAGATGCAAGAAACTGATGTTACAGGGTATTTAAAGCACAAGAGTGATAAACGTTTAAGTTTTCTTCTTGGTAAAGGAGTTGGATATGTAAAGATGCCAAGATGGCAGAGTGATTTGCGTAGAATAAGCATCCCGGGAAGAGAAGAAATTACGCTTTCCATCCGTGCATTCGAACAGTAATTTGAAGAAATAAGGACGGATCTTGATCAAACTTAGTTTTTTAATTAAGTAGAGCTTAGAGTGTGAGACCCAAAATATAGTGTCAAAAGTAAATATATTTTTATTGGAGTTCCAAATAAAAACGTATAAATTCTTCATATTTTCAACAAAAGATGGCGATGACAGTTCACTTAAAGCGTACTTGGAAACATTTAGGTATCTGACGTTACAATAATTCAAGTGGGAAATTTTACTGGTAAACACAAGATCAGTCGGAGTGTTATTTGACAGTGTTAGTTGTATAGAGTGCTCGTAGTTTCTTATACAAGCGAAGATGGATTAAATCAAATGGTAAGGTATTGTTAGTTGTGAAGTGTGTGCAACACGCTGAAGGAGGGTTTGTGTGCTGTGCTCATGTTCACAGTGACAATCTATCACTGGTATACGGTGACGCTTCTATCAAGGCACAGGTCCATAAGATGGTCGTATTATTGTGCCGTTATCGACATTTGGTTTAATATTCGTCCATTGGCTCTCCTCGGGTTCCCGCCATGTTTACTGGAGGCTATACTCCTCAATTAGTCACTTGTCTCCTTTGTTAATTTTTTGCAAAAGCTGCCAATTTGCACAAGATTTGAGCAAAACAAAAAAATAACCAATTCTCAAACCAAAACCTGAGGACAGCTAATGGACAAATATTTACTGACATTTGTTCTCTGTGGGGTCTAAAACAGCAGAATTCTAAAACTAGGCGTAAGGTAAACAAGGGAAGGACAAGTTCTCTCACTTCCACCTCTTCATATTGGTTCTGTAAGTGTTTAGAGTAAGACGTAGTAAGGCAATTACAGCCGTGATTTGATTTACACCGTCCTGCTCATATTATTTGTAGGTTAATCGGGACATTAGTGAGCGAGACATGTCTAGATCCCAGAGTCTCATGGCATCATTTTAATACTGCTCGTATCAAGAAGCTTCCCCGGCTGATAGAAGAACGCAAGCGAAGGTTGATAGCAGTGCCTTATGTAATACTGTAAGTACAGTAGTCAGCCATTTGTCTTTATATATATATATTTTTTTTCGTGTTAGGTACTAAACTTGAACTATAATGCAGCCTGCCTGGAAAAATTACTCTCACTGAAGCAGAATACAATTTGATTAGTCAGGATCCAAGAATGAAATTAAATTTGGTCGTGGGATATGCGCAAGTGTTATCAGTCCATTAAATGGTCTTCTTGATAAAGTTAAGTAAGGGATGCGACATCGTTAAATCAGGTTTATGACGATAGCGTTATAAATTTAAGTTTTTGTTCAGGAGTTAATTTTTAAACTCAAAACTGTTCGTGTCCCTTGATATCATTTGCGTTTTGAATGTTTTATAAGAATATATTATTGGTAAATGCATGCAACAGAAAATAATTTGCGTTTAATAAACACTCTATTACTTACATCTTGACAGTTTACAGTTTAGGTTTTTATGTTTCACCAGTGCGGTTTGTACGAATGAGCAGGTTAGATGAGGGCTTATTTTTTCTGTTCATTTTCTAATGTTTTTTCTTGTGAAATTGCCGCGTCTGTACTAATGCTACCACATTTTGCCTGAAGCAAAACTCAAGCGTATGTTTTTGTC